TCCGTCTTACTCAGACCGTTGGTGACACCGACCGAAGCGTCGATCTGTGAGGAACTATTTTTTTACCGATTCCGGAAAGCTACCCCCCACCCTCCGCAAAACATTATTATACTTCCAAGAGATCCGTTTCTCTCCGTGGAGGTTTTTGCTTACAGTTGCGAGGCTAAATCCTTCAAGGTGGAGGATGCTTGGCGATGCAGTTTTCTGGCATCGCCTTCTGCGGGGTCTGGTCTATAAATGGTAGGAACACCGTGTGTGTAATTGTTGGGTTTGATGTGGATTAAGCTGTGATAAATTTCCCCTGGTCAAAGCGGTTGCTTTACGGTTCGAGGAAAATTGTGAATGCGGTTTACCCTTGCTCATCCACTGCCTTTAGTATTACTCGCTATTTCTGACTTCTGCACGTTCTTTGATACTTTGAGACAATTGTCTTGTGACTTCACCTACAATAATCGGTTCACAACCGCACATGAGTTAATTGAACATCATCAATGAGGTTAACATGCGCATCATATCTTTGTTGGGGCATCGAATATTTGATGAAGTAAAAAACTCACATTTGAACTGAGCGCCATTAAAGCGAATGAATCTCTACTGACCCTGTCAGCCCTGACATCTTTTTAGAATGTGAGTCTTATTGGCTTATTCTCTTCATCCCAGTTACGGTCAATAAACTTCTCAGGATAACTATTTTCCAATAGGGTTCTCTTCAGTAGTTAAAAGTTTGATCTTCACAACGGATACGCCTTGCTTTCTGCGGAAGCCGGCTTTTAAAACTACGTTCTTGATAAAAAAGAACGAAGCGATGAAAACTTGTTTTCTGTCCACTCCGTGTTACTTTTCGGAATATCCTCTGAATAGCGTCGTCTGGGTGTCTAGATAAATGAAAATCCAAAAACGGGAGGAAATCCTCCTCTTCTGGTTCACTTGTGAACTCGATTGACGAATATGCCGTTTTTAATTCTAACTCAACCTAGTCGATATTGATGTTCTTGTCATCGACACGGAAGATGTTCTGCATAACGATAGTAAAAAACCAATAGCTGTGAATTTAGAAGTTTTCTCTAGCTTTACTATGGAGATGTTGGTAAAAACATGTCCAGCAGGCGAACCATAGCAACATCATCAACTTGCAGGTGGAATGTATTAGGAACCAATTTTTGTACATTTTTTCGTGTTCATTTAAGCATGAGTTCTTTGTTATTTTTGACTGGGATGCCCACAGTAATCATCTCTGTGTTGATAAGTGTACAGATGAAATCAATTATTTTCAACAAGGAAACTTTTTTTAGAGGAAAACACCACCGAATTAGGATAGTAGTTAGTTGTGAATGTTCACAGTTTTGGATATACCAACAAACTAACTAGTGTTTTTAGGTATATGCTTACAAGCGTTTGTTGCACCGTGTTTATATTTGGGCTGTTTTGAGGTGATAACTAAATGAAATGAGTCTTTATGATTAACCTCAAATTCCATCCTATGCATCTGTCACCAACATCAACACGTTATTTGAGTTCTGAACGTCTGTGGTATCTTTGATCACGGGTTTTCATAGTACGTGGCCATACTTGTTATTCGTTTGTTTCGTCAAGCTTGTACTTTATTTTCAATTAACCTCAGATCACACAGTGACAAATAATCCAAAACTCGGTTTCACATTGTGTTTCGCTCGCTTTCATGCGAGAACACGTTACTCATATGAATTGTAGGAATGCACTGTGTTCGCTAATCGGTTTTCATCACACTCGCTGGTCCGCAACAGATTCTTCACTTTGTAAACTTCATCTCCAGTTTATGGACTCAATATTTTTCTTACCCTCGATCAAATTGTGTCAGCCATTCTAGGCTAACCGTGGTTATGAAATTTTGAATCTTTTTGTCTTCTCAGTTTGTTCAGGTTTGTTATTTTATTTTCTTCGGTGTTTCGTTGCACGTGTTCAAATTAACTTTCTCTTTTCCCCTTCTGATCCCCGTAGTTTGTAAGATTGACCCTCGAATGGAACCTCTTCCAAAGTTAAGCCTTTGCCAAATGACATCCTCACCACCAACTTCTTCTACCGCACTGTTGGCCGCGTGCTACTTTTGCATGGGATTGTGGAATTCTCCTCTCGGTCGGTTGGGTTGTTTGATGCAATTTTGGCACGATTCCATGATCCCCTTGCTTATCATATTGCTAACCAAAGCCTCCAAGCTAACCTCCGAAGACTTCAGTTACACATTATCCGTCGTCAGCCAATCTCTGCATGTATTATTTTTACTGGTATTTCGTGCTTTTGGTCAGTTTGAATCGAAAATGCACAAACCTGGAAAAATGTGTACTTGTCAAATTCAAAGTGAGTTTCCGTTCAATAGCTTGTTTTATTTCAGACGTTCATTAACCTATTTGCATTATTTGTTGATTTATAATGACTTAGATCTATTGTTTATCTCACGTACGTACATGGTTGAGAGGCTTTGCAATTGTGTTTAGCGATACGTACATATCATTCTGATATTAACCAGTAGGTAACATGCAGAAGTTTTTGAGCTAAATAAAAAAATGCAGAAACGTAAAACCCCACAATGTTTACTCATCATCCAAACCTTTTGAACCACAATCACGTGGGAGCATTTGCAGGCTGATAACTCTCTCCGTACAACCACCTTGCAGTGCTAATGTTATTACATCAGACAGATTCCGTGATCATTTGAGTTATTTTTCGCCTGCGTTCGTCNTTCGAAACAATTTACGAATTTTCGGATACACGCGCACGCGGGGTCACTGTTCTGCTGTTTACCGACGGTGGCTGTTCTCATCCTGATGAGATCCTGGGTTGCTTTTTTTAATATATATAATTATTATGTTTAACACCAAGTTGAGAACAAGCTCTGTGTCAACACCATAACATTACTAACAATAACAATAACGAGGGGAGGGTGGGTTGGGGTACAGAGTATAGGGGAAAGATGTAGCTGTCAGAATAGGAGATTACGAATAAGTGGAATAACAATTTTTTGGGGGGTGTTTCACCGTACACAACGGATGTCTGAACACATTCCCAAGTGGTTGGCACAAAGGATGACGCAACAAAGTCTTATAGGTCAAACCGATAAGTTAAATCCAGGGTCATCAATCGCAAAATATCTCATGGCAACTGGACACATGGTTGATCCATAAATGTTCAAGCCATTATTACGTAACTTGAACCCCAGGGTTTTGGCGTTTAGCGAGGCGATGCTAATCAAGTTACGTAACCCAATATTATGTGCACAAAGGTTTCTTACTCAATCAGTCAAACTGCCATGAACCTGATTTCCCACCCCACCCTCTTTCAAGTCAAGTCAAGTCAATTAAAGCTTTATGCACCCGATAGGATGAATTTTCAGCATTTTCGACATGTTACAGTTGAAAAAAAACGTTAAGTATCAGAAAAAGAAGAAAATATACGTTTACTAAATGACAAACAGATGGGTTTACGTAAAATCTTCCCCGCTTCCCTGACTATTGTCCGTTTTACCACTGTAGTTATCAAAACTTGTATAAATACCAGATTGTTTTACGTTGTAGCGACTGAAGAGATTAAAAGAAATGTTATCATTTCGCAGTTTTGTCTTCTATCGGTTCTAAAGAAATTTTTTGTTATTGTTTGTGGTTTTTACGGGACACGGGATTTCGACAGGCAAACCGTACAGCCTTCGCGCCACTGACTTCTATTCCGAGTCATGTCTCTCAGCCTCTCTAACCAACGACAATCCTCATCCCTTGGGCCCCAACCTAGAAAACGGGCAGCACCAACCGAAGCCAAAGCTGAAGCCAGCTTCTTCATGCCTCTAGCCCATATCATGGTTTGACCGCCGAGTCGCTTCTTCCAGCCTCGCCCGAAAAGGTAATCGATGGGCAGGCATACGCATTACATGACCCAGCCATCGGAGGCGTTTAGAGCAATTACTTCTGTTAGGGAACGACTATCCGCACCCAACACACTACGACGGACCACGTCATTGCTCACCCGATGTTCTCACCAGACACGAGCAATGCTTCGGAGACTTCGGTGGTCGAATACAGAAAGTCGATTAGCATCCTCCGTTCGGAGAGGCCAGGTCTCGCAACCGTAAAGCAGAACACTACGAACTGCTGCGATTTACATCCTTCCCCTAAGGGATAGCCGGATGTCATAGCGGCGCCACAGGTGTCGCAGGTTGGCGAAAGCTTCTCTAGCTTTCGCTAATCTTGATGTGATCTCGTCCACAACACCACCAGCCGCGATCAAGCTCCCGAGGTACTTAAAGATCTCAACAACTTCTAGCTGATCACCACAGAGGGTGAGTGCAGGCACAGTCTCCTGCCAGTCTTGAACGAGCACTTTGCACTTTGAAGGTGCAAAGCACATGCCATATCTGGATACCTCGATCGCTAAACGGTTCAAAGCCTCTTGGACTGCCTGTGTTGTCACCTAGCAAAGCAATGTT